ATTATTTGTTGAAAAATAAAAAAAAATAAAAAAATTAAAAAAAAAAAACTTTAGGGCCAGGCATGGTGGTACAAGATAAAGTTCCAGGACTTTGGAGGCTGAGACAGGAGGATCACACCCTGGGCTACACAGTGAGTTCAAGGTCAGCCTGAGCTCTATAGGGAGACCTTGTCTCAGAACAAAACAAAACAACACACAAACGTGTGTATGTGTGTATACTAAACTTCTGGCCAGGATCTGTGCACAAGTATAAAAGCATGAAAAGGCTCACCAGGAATCATACAGAACAGCACTCAGTTATTCCAAGAGAAATATATCATTCATGCCCTCTGGAAAGTGAACAACAGAAAAGCTGTAAGTACCTGAAAGTCACATGATATTGATAAACTGCTTCATTATGACACTGTATTTTGATGAGATTCAGTCCTAAAGGTTGAGGTGTTCCTTTTGATCCTTGCTTCACAAAATGTTCTCTGGAAAACAACAATTAAAAAACAAAAGCATCAGTGTACTATAATGCTGTGTGCCTGTAGTCCCAGCTACTGAGACAGCTGAAACAGCAATATTCCTTGAGCCAACCTAGATAAAATCAAAAAGAAAAGCACCCACATACCACTTACAGAAAAACAAAAAACAACCATCCTACACTGCCACTAACAACAAAAAGGTTAGGGGAAGTAGTATTTTGTACATGTTACACAAACCAAGAACCAAGATGCACAAAATCAAGTTTTGATAAAAAGATAATTCCTTAGCAATATTTAATTAGGCAATGCACCCCCAATCTGTCCTAGCAACAGCACCAAAATAAACAAGACCAACGAACTAAAAACTAAAAATCAGGGGCCGGGGAGATGGCTCAGTGGAATAAGCGCTTCCCTGGCAAGCACAAGGCCCTGAGTTCAATCCCCGGTTCTGCAAAATAAATAAATAAATAAATAAATAAATAAATAAATAAATAAATAAATACTAAAAATTAGTTCTTTTTGTGTGCTTTGTTTTGTGATCAAAGGTCTATGTAGTTCAGGACAGCCTTGAATTCACCACGTAGCCCAGGCCATTCTCTCTTTATCCTCTTGCCTCAGCCTCCTGAGTGCTGAAATTATGGGTGTGAGCCACCATACCCAGCTATAGAATTGGTTCTATAGAGAAAGGCGAAGTGCCATATTTCTCTTAAATGGCTACAACATGACAAACAACTGCCTGCCTAAAATGGGACAGCAATGAGAGGCCATTAGTTTACTCTCTGCTAAATACTACTGGATACATTCATTATTAAACCCTCTGTATCTCATCAGGAAATGTCCCATTTCTCCATCAATTTCCCCACCAGCAAAAAAAAAAAAAAAAAAAAAAAGCCCACCCTACACCCTCCCTGTTACACAAGGAGGACTCTGGCTACCACAGTCAGTGTTCATAGCATTGTACATAAGCCCAATCACAGAGACCAAGAGACTCCTCCTGCCTTCAAAGGACAGGCAGTGCTCCTGACTTACTTTTCTTTGTGTTCCACAGTTGGGTCTGGGGGGTGATCTGCAGAGTATAGCAAGGATCTGGGCAGAGGCAGAGGTGGTGACAGCTTCTGGGGGTCCCAGGCAGTCACTCCAGGTGCCTGAAGAGTCTTGTCTATTCCTCTGCCTATACCACCAGCTGTTCTCCCCAGAGGTAATAAAGAAGCATCTGAACTCCCTCTTCCAAGAGCTCTGAAATGGTACAAAGGAAACTTTCTTAGTCATGCTTTTTAGATATGCTTCATCTTTCCACAAGTGTACATTTTCCTTATTTCTTGTTTTATCTCATGAGTAAAGGTCTAATTATGTAGATCAGCCTGGCCTTGAACTTTCTGTGTGTTCCTGGTGGCCTTGAACTTGCAGTAATTCTCCTGCCAAAGCCTCTGGTGAGCCAGGCTTACTGGCATGCATGAATTCTCTTTATGAGCGAGTCAGCCAAAGAAGGTCAGCATAACTTTAGGATTCACTCAGATTCTCTCATTCACAATGGCTACTGATATTAATTCTTAGAGCCATCTTCCACAGCAGACTTGAGGGGAATGTGACTCTTCCAGATTATAGAACCTCTTCAATCAGGGAAGCTTGTTAAGAGGGCAAGTGAACTTGCGAATAGCCTAGTGGAGTATTCACTGCCTTTTCCCAGTGACTGGCTGAATCAAAGGCAGCTGACTGCTCCTGGGAAATGTTCTTGGAAACTTTTGCCTGCTTGTATGGTAACAGACCCCTCCCAGAACTTCTCTTTTCACCTGGGGTTAACGGCTGCAGGAGAAGGGGACTTGACTCACCTATTCCAACCAACAGAGGCCTCCGCCAGCTTGCCATCGCCAGCTGCCAACACCAGAGAATCAGAAAAAATGGGACGAGGTTCTTCTTCATTCTTGCATACCATGCTAACCGGCAAGCCTCGACCTAAAATGCCTCTACCTGAAAGAACCAAACCTCAACTATAACCATGAGCCAAACCTATTTCAAAGTAGTTATCTTTCTAAAGATAAGCTACTTAGAATTAAGAACCAGGTACTGTACATATCACTGCAATTCTCAAGTTTATTTTCCACATACCTAAAGAAAATCCTTCTCGCTTTGGAGGAGTCTGGGACACTGTCTCAAGACCCATGCCTTGGAACATGGACACCAAACCGGTACACTCCTGGAAAGGCAATGAATAAAGTTGTTCTAAGATGTAATTTAAAACCCGAGATCCGGGGTTGGGGAGATGGCTCAGTAGAATAAGCGCTTGCCTGGCAAGTGCAAGGGTCTGAGTTCAATCCTCAGTTCCGCAAAAAAAAAAAAAAAAAAAAAAAAACAGATCTGAGGAAATTCTCATCATCTTTGTTTCTAAAAACTTCTTGCCTCAATCTCCTTGAGTGTGTCCATAGTTTATTATGGCATATATTCCTATTGTAATATTCTGCTACTCTCAAGTAAATACTATTATTTAGGGGTTGGGGAGAATGGCCTAAGTACCTGCCTGGCAAGTGCAAGGATCCCACTTGGATCCCCAGTACCACACGCTGTGCTGGCACTGTGCCAAGTTAGCCACCAAAACCAGATGTGGTAGCACATGTCTGTAGTCCCAGTGCTGGGGAGGCTGAGACAGGAGAATCACTATGAGTTCAAAGTACACAGTGAGACCCTGTACCAAATAAATACATATATAAAAGATTTCAATATATTATTATTATTTGGAAATAAATAAAGCCTCAGAAACAATGGAGATTTACAAGGCTTTAAAACTTTGGTAAACATAAAAATCACTCTTCAGGGCTGGGCATGATAATACACACCTGTAATCAATCCCAGCACTAGCAGAGCTGAGGCAGGAGGGTTGCTGTGAATTTGAGGCCAGCCTGAGCGACACAGTGAGTTCAAGGCTGGCCTGGACTACAGAGCAAGATCCTATATCCAGAATAAAAAGGTGGGGCTGGGAGATAGCCTGGCAGTCGAAGCACTGTCGGGCAAGCACAAGGACGCAGATTTGATCTCTAATACCACATTCCATGCCATCCCTGAAACATAGGCGAACCGTGCCAGCCACCAAAATCGTGCATGGTGGTGCACACTTGTAATCCCAGCACTGGGGAGGCTGAGACGGGAGGATTACTACAAGTCTGAGCTGGGTAGCGAGACTCTGTATCAAATAAACAAATTTTTAAAAAGATGTTAAAAAAAATCAGTCTTCCATTTTATACTTTTCTGCTGGATGGTTAAGACCAAGGTAAAGCAGGACCTATGCAACAAGAGTTGTAGCTTTTTGGTCTGAGAAGGTCAGTGAAATCCCCTCAGGATTTATCCTAAGATCCTGTACCTCAGATTGTAGAACCTTTGTCAGTGTCAGCCATGTGGATGAGTCACGGCCATTGCTTGGCCAATGTGCTCTCTGTGAAAGCCTGAGAGAACGTTTTCTCTCCATGTGACTCTCCTTAGGCACACTCTACATCATCAATCACTTTCCTCTTTGGCCCCATAATCTCCTTGATCAGAAAATTTGGGACACTACCAAGTTACATGACGTTACAATACAAGTTCTCATATGTCCTGAGTCTTATTTTGAAACTGTCTCATTGCTATTTGCTTCTCAATAAAATTATGGAATAAATAAATAAATAAATAAATAAAAAATCAGTCTTCCAAATACGTAAATTTTAAAAAACAAAATACAAATATTTTATAAAAAGTTTTTCAGGTGACTTCCAGGAAGATGGTGGAATGGTGGGCAGCAGAGAAAGAGCCTCTCCCAAGACTCTGTGTCCACCCACTGTAATATAGCAACATGAGGAAGAGAAGAAACAAGGAAGTGTGTCCCTAGGATCCAGGAAGAAATCTGAAGCAAAAATTGAAGCCAGGAAAACAAAATTGAAAACCACAGGAAGAGTGAAGAGAGAAACTTCAATAAAGAAGGTGACAGATACCCCCTTCTCCCTGAGTCTGGATTCACTGCATGGGAAGAGCGATTCCAACCTGCAGACACACAGTGACTAGCAGCAACCTGATATAATTCCATGGAGAGACAAGCAGGACAACACTGCAGTTGACACTGTGGAATGCACTAGCTGGTGAGTGCAGTGGCTTCAGCTGTCGTGGGGGCGACAGCCACTGGCAAGAAGCCATCTAGGAGAGGGGCCAACTTTGAGCAAGGAACTCAAAATAACTGCTGGCTCCACCTAAGGTTCCCACCTAAGTTCAAGCCTGAGAAGATACACTGGTGACTGCTGCAACTTGAACCAGGTCTGGTTCCAGCCTCACAGCCAGAACCCAGCATGAACTTCAGGGGAACTAAGGTATAGGCTTGCTGATATTACCACTGTCATACAGCTACTTACTGCTGGTTTGCTGGGATAAATCAACATGGATCTAGACTCAGTCTCCACACATTGCCTATCAGTGATAGAAGAGACAAACCTTGAAGTGGACATTTTTTTCCTTCTTTTTTTGTTTTTGTTGGTGGGGGGTTGACTTTCTTTTTTTCTTCCTCTTCATAGTTTGATCTGGTTTTTATATGAGCGTGAGTGTGATTTTCAGTTTTATTTTTTATGGGTGTTGTTCTGTTTCCTTCTTCTTTTTATTTCTTCCTTCTCTCTTTCCCTCCTGTCTTCTTCTGCACCAGTTTCCCAAAGTTTCATAACCTTCCTTTATCCTCCAGCCTTGTTTTTAATATCCTCTATTCTATTTCTCTACCTTTTCCACTAACTCCTTTCAAATGTTCTCCTTGACAGTAAAATTGGCATACTGAGAGCTTATTTATTGCATACAATTTTCTGGTTTGTATTAGAGTTTGTTACAGAACCATAAATCTAGATCATGTAGTTAATGGTGGCAAATTAAGTTACCTGAGTTTGCTGTTTTCTAGGCTGTTTGATGCTATTATTATTACTGTGGCATAATTGACATAATTTAGCCAAAGTGACATGATTGTTTTAACCAGCTGCTCTTCCTGGTACACCAAGACTAAGATAACCTAAGGGTCATAGAACTGTGGGTCTACATCAAAGAACCAAGAACTGGTCCAAGTACGCAGCAACTTCTCATCTCCAATAAAATGAAGAGGTAGATCTTGTAACTGACTCAAAATTCAAAAGCCAATTAGACACAGAGAACACCTGACAAGTAGTCATTCTCTAAGAGTTCTAAATAATAACAATAAAGCTATCACCATAGGCAATTTATAAATATCAACCCAGAAATTAAACTTTAAAAAAAAAAGAAAGAAAAAGAGAGGATACTTAAACAAGGTGCAGCCCCAGACTTGCAGTTCACCAAAGGCAAACCCAGGGGGCAATGAGATGGGACAATCTAAAAGCCATCTACCTGGACTCTCCAAAGTGATAGCAACAAAGCAGATGAACAAGGCTCTAGAAAATATCAAATCAGAAATAATTTCTCAGATAACTACAGTGATAGTGACTGTAATGAAAGACATGCTTAGTGACGCTACAGCCGAGGAAGATAAAAAAAAATACAGATGCCTAGGAAAAAGATGGAAACTATGAATACACAACATAGGAAATAAATCAAATCCATAAAACAGACTCAGGCAGATACCCAGGAGCAGAAATTCCACTGCAAATATCTGTAGCAGAAGGAACCAATGTGAGAATAGAATCTCCGATATAGAATATAGGCTTATGGTTATGATCATGAAAAGAAAGATTTCTTAAAAATAGCAAAGGACCACAAGAAATGAATCCAGCAGCTGCTAGGTGACGCAAAGAAGAGTAACATCAGATTGATCTGAGTCCCTGAAAAACCAAGAGATAGCACAGATGATATAAAAATCCTGTTCACAAACATCATGGCAGAAAATTTCCTTCACAGGGAAAAAGAAATTGATATTCAGGTAAGTGACGCATATAGAACTCCAATTCTATCCATGTCAAAAAATCTACAGCAAGACATACAATAGTTAAGACAGAAGAAATTCAACACAAGAACAGAATATTAAAAGCTGTTACAAAAAAGAAACAAATCACCTATAAAGTAAAGCCCATCAGAATCACAGCTGACTTCTGAACACACACTCTAAAGTTAGGGAGAGCTTGGATGAAGTATTGCAAATCCCAAAAGACAATAATCTCCAACAGAGATTGATATACCCCCACAAAACTGTCTTTCAAAATTGATGGGAGAGGGGCCGGGGAGATGGCTCAGTGGAATAAGCATTTCTCTGGCAAGCGCAAGGGCCTGAGTTCAATCCCCGGTTCCGCAAAAAAAAAAAAAAAAAAAAAAAAAAACTAAACTGCATAATGAGACTTTATCTCAAAAAGACAAAAAAAAGATGGATAAATAAGGTAATTCCATGACAAAGAACACCCGAGAAAATTCATGAACACCAAACCATCACTCCAAATTATTCTGAGGAAAGAGGTAACTAGGACTATAACCCCAACAGAATGAATCCACTAGGAAAGACAAGCAAACAGAGGGGGAGAAAAGGAGCCAACAACAGGAAAAGAACATAAAGAGTAAGGGTTATGGTTTAGGTGTCCCTCCCAAGCCTCATGCAGTCATGGAGTGGCTTCTAGAGTTTGTGATTTAATTCATGATCCAATGCTGGGATTATGAGGGTGAATGCTATAGCACCCTGGGGCAAATAATCTGCATATAAATGTAAGGAGAAAAATGCTTGCTAGCTGCTGCAGCTGCTGCTCCTCCCTTTGATCTTTGCCGTTTTACACCTCCATGAATGGCTGCCCTCTGCCACGTGCCACTCTGCCTTGGAGCCAACTGAGTATAGACTGAAACATTCAGTAACTGTGACCTAAAAAAAATTCCTTCCTTAATTCTGGGTGTCTGGTATTTTGTCCCAGCAATGAGAGAAAAGTAACTGAGACAGTAAGTCGATACTTATCAATTATAAACACCAATGTAAATGGTCTCAAATCACTAATCAAACACACTGGCAGAACGGATCAAGAAGCAAGATCCAACAATATGCTGTATATAAGAAATACATTTGGGGCCAGGGAGATGGCTCAGTGGAATAAGCGCTTCCCTGGCAAGCACAAGGACCTGAGTTCAATCCCCGGTTCCGCAAAAAAAAAA